AGCAGTATTTCAAATTTTTTGGACATTAATATTATTAATAATGACAACACCCTAGAATTTGATTGATTTCACAAATCAGTTTTCTCAGGGAAATACCATATTTAAATTTTATGTCTTCGCATCGATTTAACAAAAGAGAGAAGTTATCATTGGAATGACTGACAGATTCTCTTTTTTGTCGCATCTGAAATTCCACATACAACAAAAATTTTAATTTTATTATTAAAAAGCTTATCAAATACTGACATATGAATTATTTTAAATGCATATTTAACTATCAGTGTTAAATCTCTTTGTTATAAAAAAAACTTTTAAACAAACTTTAAAACAAAATATGGATCAGATTTCGGTCACGGGAGAAAAAACTATCTTTAGGATTATGGCAATAAATCGTAAGCAGTAAGCAAATTGGCCAATCACGGTAGAATCCGTAAGGTCATAACGTAAGCGATAGTCAATGCAACATGTTGATTTCCTTATTGCTTATTGCTATTCTTACTGTTTTGAGTTTTTTGTATGCCTTTACTATTCTATATATTCAGAATGTTTCTGCAAATTTAGGAATATAATTTGGAATTTGAATATAAAATCAACATTTTATAATTTTATAATACACTAAGCAGGTTTATTAAAGTTCACAAAGGTTTGCTTCCAAATAATTCAAAGAAAAATGTGATATATCATAAATCTCATATAGTAATACAACTTAAGTGGATCAAATTGTGAGGAAATTATCAGAATTTTAGAACATATTAAATTTCAGGAACCACATCAATAGAAATATTACCTCCTAATCGAAAATCATAGATCATAGATTATATTAGAATCACTAATTTGATTGGTCGAATGTGAAAATTTTTCGGAACGATTTTTGAGTAAATGTTTGACGTCCGAAATGATATTTATTAAATTACAAACAAATAGTCTAAATTTACAATCAGACACTAACTGTTTTAATCATATGTAGATATACTTATAACTAAATTTTAAATCTTATTTGAGTATTTTACAATCTTGTTCTTCATGTGAGACTTTTTACTTTCGTTGGCATTATTTCACATTTTAATTCTTAATACTTCTTAAGCGATTGCAAATTTCTGTGAATTATGTACACTGGACCATGAAACAAAATTATGCAGCTGAGTGAGTATTCGTTTGGTAGACGAGAGTGTAGAGATTTTTTTCTAATACTTCTACTTTGCTGAGGATGTGTATGGCCTCAATGTAGCAGAAACGGTCAAATTGTAAAGCAAGTTAAATATAATTTATTTATAAATTTAAATATGTTTTGGTCATTATATTTATCCTTATTGGTCTGATTTGTTTACAATTGTTATTTATATTTGACATTTTACTTATTGGATAATAAAAGCAACAATTCTAATTAAATTAACAATTTTCATTGACCTCTTTTCTTAGAACAATTGGGATTGAATTCTGATAATGAAAGTACACATAATCATAGTTGATTTGAGTTTATCGATTATATCCGATAGTTGAGTTTATGATATTAGAGTGTTTTTGCAATAACATGAATCCAGATACGGTGAACGCTAAAGTCACATTCCTTTTTCTTAATTAATTATTAAGAAAAAGATAACTTGATCTTAGTTCATCATATCTGGATAAATAGCATTGCGAAAACTTCCTATTGTTAAAGTAAAGTATTATATGCTTAGAAAATCAATGAATTTATTAATATAAAAAAATTACGAATCTATTTAAAAATCTACAGATGAATAAATTTACAAATAAAAATTAAGAATAGAGAACTTATTTTTAAATAAGAAATATGTAAAATAAAATAAATAAAGAATAAATAAATATAAGTTTAATAATACCTCAATATAAAAGTTATTTGCAAGAATAAATATGTATTTAAATCATGAATATTATATTTAGTACTTTAACCTAATTAGAAATGATTAATATTTATAAAAATATTGTTAAAATGATATATTAGATTTATTAAAGACATAATTATTTGTATTTTTATTTTTTTCTTTATGCTTTTATTTGTTTCCCAAAAAAGGATTCTATATATTATTTTAGAATAATAGTTTTATTTGTACATATATTTAGAGGAAAGCTCCCTATTATGAGATAGGAACCTAATATGAGATAGCAAGGTTTCTGCTGAACTAATAAACGCTATCTATTAGTTGCATCATGAATTTATTGATCTTGGATTGAAAACTATTTAGTAGAACATTTATTATTAGATTATGCCTATAGTCATTGTAAAACAAGATTTTAGAATTTGGATGTCTTCAAGTTTTTTTGGGATGAACCTTCAAACGTTGTTTATTATTTAATAAAATTAAATATTTGGCAATAAATCTTTCTTCATGTAGTGATAGAGTAAGGTCGTACTAATAGAAAAATATGAAATTTGTTGGATTGTTTAATTACAGAAGTTAGATTTAATGATCGTAAAATCATAAAATGTGGAAATACTATGAGATACCCAATATATATTATTTCTTATGTGAAATAACCCATGCTCCTATAGTCAAAATCATTTAAATATAAATGTTATTATACAATAATAAAAAAGACAACCGGAATAAATGTGCCTATTTCTGCAATGCTTGATTCTGACTACGTGAAAACGCGTTTTGAGTATAATCGCATGCTCATTTTTCGCTGGCTGTATTTGTTTACCATATTTTAGAAACATTAAATAAAGTTTTTTAATTGCACTGATATATTTTTACTACTGATTTCTCGGGGTATCTCATATTAGGAGCATAATTTTTTTCCGATTTGCTCATTTTTTACATTTCTTTAATTTTCAAAACAAATAGAATTTGAAATGTTAAAATTCTGATATTATCATTTATCCTAGTCCTATATTTTAAATTTTTACTTTCTTGAATTATATTTAATAGTACATAAATTTATTAAATAATTTTAAAATTTATAGTTTTATGTATCGCTTATAAATAAAATCGCAAATTAACATTATTTTTTATTGGATTATTTTTTGTGTTTATTTTATGTGTTTCTAGACCGTGTACTTTAGAATATATGATCTATTTGATCTATCTATGAATGCTTCGAAGTATCTTTTGATTGGTCGATTACTAAAATTCTTTCTTCTGATTGGTGATCAATCAAAAGCTTCGAAGCGTCAAATGGATTATGCCCTTTTTTATATTACGCTTAGGATTGAAGGCTTAGGATTACAAATTGAGGATTAGAATTCAGTCAATTAGAACGAAACGAATTAAAATTAATTATTACTTGAATGGTCTAATTTTAATCCTTAATTTGAAATTCTCAATTTTCTTATGCGTAGTGACATTAGTCTCGTAAACTCACTTCAAAGTGAGGTTATGAAACTGTGTTGACATGCAATAACTTTTTATCAAAGCAAATAGTGACGTCAATGACTGCGTTCAACAGAGAAAATTAATTATAAGTTAGTGGTTAATGATTCTTTCATATGATCAGTTCTTGCCTTTAGTTCTTCACTAAATCTAAGTGTAAGAACGATTCGTATTAAAGAAATATTATGCGCTAACTGATTAGTTTTCTTTGCTGAACGTAGCCATTAAGTTGAGTGTAAGATACTTAGCTTATTTCAGACTCAATTTCATTTGTATGTAAATGGAAAACTATGCTTTTCTTCTTCATCTTCTTTCTCTCTCTCTATCCCTCTCTCTCTCTCTCTCTCTCTCTCTCTCATTTTCTCTATTATAAAATATTTATAATACCTTACAAAAATTTGTATATTTATGTGAAATTGTATATTTAATATGTTTATGTAAAATTGTATATTTAGTGATATATATCACAGCAATAAATATAAAACAAGCGAATGTACGTACTTTTGATCGTAAATTTATTGCTTGAGTTTGAAATGAAGCTGATGAATAGATGCATTCATAAGTTTATATATACTTCTGATATAGTTGCAACAAAGATATAAATCACATTTTTCTAATGTTTATTGTAAATATGTAAATATTTCTCAATGCAATATTGCACAACAAAATATTATATTTATAATTTACGATATGTAACTTATTAAAAGTGGTAGTCTTAATAAAATTCTCAGTTATTACTTTTCTGTCATAACTTTTCTTAGAATAAACTAAAGAATAAGGGCTTATTTCTGTTCATTTCTGATGAAGTATATAATCTGTGGTAAATTTTATTTCTATCGATTATTATATCTATAATATTTGAGTCTACGATATCGTCAATAGAATATGTATCACGTGTTCAGAAATCATCAAAAAGAATCATAAATCTAGATGGCCAAAGTCCAACAAATTTATAATAGACATAAATAAAGACAGAAACTTTGTAAAAAAAAATAAATTTAGTAAAATCTTGAATAAGTCATAAATAAAATTCTATATATGTTAGAATATATATTATATTTAAATATTGGATACTGTACATAATTTAACATTTTAACTACCATAGCAACCACCATTTTAAATGTGATGTAAACTTTTGTGAAAGTTCTATCATCCATTTACAGATAATATCTTTATTTATTTCAGATTAGAAATTATTGTAATAACATTGTAAATGAGAAATATGTAATTCGAAATCTTATTTGTAATAAGAGAACTTAAGGTGAAAATTACTTACAAATATTTAATTTTATGCGCCGTGCCAATTTTAATTTTTAAAATTTATTACATAATCATGTATTTTTAAGCTTTTTTTACTGAATTTATTTTATTTTTAATAATATATCTTTCAAAAAATTTTTTTTCGCTAAATTTATCAAACTAATTTATAACAGTATCATACAGATATATCAATATTATATAATACTTAATATAATATTAAAAAAATGATATTATTCGTTGCGGATAATTACAATGACTGAGAATCTTGGAATAGAAACAACATTGATGATTGTTGTTTTGTTATTTACATTATTTGATAATTTATTTTTGATAATTTATTTAATTGAAAAAAAGAGCATACATTTCGTAGAAATAATTTTATAAAACTATTATTACTGTTATTTTAAATTATAAATTTTGTAACACCAAATGGTAATAAACAAATAAATATCTCTTAATTTTTCAAATTTGCTTTGATCCAAGACAGGAAACTGGATACACTTGTGTAAACATCTGGTTCTCCAGAACAGGTGAAGGAAGCGATTCCAATTTGAACTCCGTTAGCGACCAAAGGTGCACCAAGATCATTCTTGAATGAAAATGAAATTAATATGAAAATACTGATATATAAAATGAATATATAAAACTATTATATACAGTAGTAATTAATTACTTATTATTGCAAATTATTATTATAATTATTTAAACATAAGTAATTTAATTGGTATATAATGCGATCACTGTTTAGTATTATACTATTCCAATATTAATATTTTTTTAGAAATATATATTGAAGATGTCAATATATCAATTCATTTGAAAATGCAAAAATTTAATCGATATAATTAGATTCTTTTCATATTATTTATACAAATATATAAAATTATAGCGCAGTAAAGTAGAAGAAATGAAGTTTTTTTTATTTTATTATCCTATAACTTTTTTTATTAATAAATATATAACATTTGCTTTTTATATCGTTACTCTTAATGTCTAGCGTTTCGATTTTTAAAAAATTTTATAATCATTTTTATTTCTGTGAGATGTTTTTACGCAATATTTGTGTGATAGATAACGTAACAAAATGATAGAATGGCATCAAAGGTTAGAATCGTTTAATCTGTTGTTATATCAAAAATATATATAATTTATTTGTTGTATCATATTAATAATCGATGGCTCACCTTGTATTCATTCGTTCTATTTTGAGCTGTAGTGCAGATATGACTATCTGTCAGTTCCCAATGCCTTTTCGCGCATTCTTTTTGCTTATCAATTATCAATTCAGTTTGCTGTAAGTCTCCATTCTAGAAAGGATAATTCCATTAATTGTTACATCGAATATCGGACGAATAAAAGCAGCAGAATTATGATTGTTAGTTATCTTTTTACACTTATTACTTCTAATTTTTTGTTATATTTATATAAAAAGAAAATAATAAAATTACTTTAAGAAAGAGTTTTTTCTTGAATACATATAATTGGATAATTTTTGTCGTAAATTAAATATTACTGTTGTATTTGTCCATCCAGATAATATGCACGGCTTGCCTTCGAAATTTTTATTGGATTTTGGAAGATTTATCGGATATACTAGTACATTGCAGTGATTGATAGGATCGCTAAGGTGAATCAAGGCGATGTCATTAAAGCATAATAATTCGTCGTAATTTTGATGGACGTTAATACTTCCTACGTTATGACGATATCCTGTATCATTTAAAGAGTTTATGCCGACATGGACCTGTATTTTAGCTGAGTCACACTCCAACCTAAGAATAAAAATATATATAAAAATATTAAAAATCCATATCTATTAAGAACAAATTTTGAAAGTATTTATTATGTATTTTATTAATTGAATATCAGAAATATAACAGAAGTTGTTAATAGAAGATTGATTGCAGAAACTAAACATACTTTGGTGTTTAAATGATATATTTCATGTTAACGAAATAAAATATTCTCTCTCTCTCTCTCTCTCTCTCTCTCTCTCTCTCTCTCTCTCTGTTCGGTTTCTGCTATCAACCTCCAATTTGCTGTTAAATTATATCGTTAAGTTCTGCAAGCAAAATATAAGTTGATTGAATACTTAAATGATACTGAATTTGTTGCAATATCTAAGTAAATCTGCTATCAATTTGTAATCATAGATTTGTTTAGATATTATATCTGTTAGCAGTTTGCTTATTGAATACGTACACATTTCATATACTGTGTCTATTTAATAACTTCAAATTAGATTTACATTCCAAAAATAATGTATATTGATAAATATTTAGAATATTCAACATACGCAATAACACATTTTGCTGAAGTTAACACATTAAAATCATCAAGAATAGATCCACTGCATATATGTGTGCCGTTTACTCTTAATGACACTTGATACTTAAATTTTCCGATAGGAGCCTCAATAACATCCTTAATGTCGATAGGAGCATTCTCACTTATGATAGAAGGAGCTCCTTATTAACAAAAATAAATTAATTATATTAATACATATGCAACATAATATCTGTTACATTATTACAGTAATTTTCCAGTAAAAGATACAAATCGATTGTCTCTCATCGAATAGTGAATGAAGTTAGAATAATTCCTGTGTTGATTTATGTCTTTTCTTGGAAAACATCTTATATACATTAACTTTAGAAATTAAACATTTTGTTTATTTTATAACTATGAGTTGTTTAGAGAAGTTACAGTTTTATTTAGAATATAAAATTTTTATATCTAAAGCAAAAACTTTACTGTTTATTTCACATTAATTTTTATTAAGCACATATTTAAAAAATGCAAGAAAATGTACATACTTTACGTTGATATAATTAATTATAATTAATTAATTTGTTTATTCATGATATTAATTAATACAGTGCTGGAACTTGCTGCCGATTGGCATTTAAACTGCGAGCATATTGGTGAGATAAGGGAACCAAATTAAAAATCATCTGAAAGTTGCAAATAAATTCCAGCATTGAATACTAATACATGTACCACTTATTGCATCAACATATTGATCAGTATGTCAGATTTCCTTCTGTAATAGACGGTGAACGATTACATTTGTAAAAGTTATTGATCTATTATATTTTATAAGTGTCATGTTTGCTAGAAAAATCATTATATTTATATAATACAATTATATTCTATATAAATATAATAATTCAATGATATGTTGACCAATATATTGATGCTACATTCTGCACATGTTGGCATAGGATATGTTTAATTCTCTTTCTTCCGTTCTCTCTCTCTCTCTCTCTCTCCCCCCCCTCTGCCCCCTCTCTCTCGCTCACTCATTTTCTTTGTCACATATAATAGTTATAATAACTTAAAAGTATATGTAAATATTTCCAGGAAATGAAAATAATTAGTTGTAATTGTAACTGTCGTTATTAAATGTTAGTTACTTAGTTGTCGTGTGTAATAACGTTGCGAATAATATTAGATTGATAATAGATCTGTTGTTTATTCTTGCACTCTCTGAATTGGCGCATACAGTGCAATAAAATAAAACAAATATATATTTATTTCATTTCAATGTACAATGTGCATCAGTTCAGACAAGATAGGAATAAAGAACAGACTTCATGTCCCCAGAGTTGAAATAAGTTAATAATTATTTATTACGGATTGAAAAAAAAGTCTTTTGTCACTGAAAATGATATGATCGCGATTTGTAACTCGTTTCTTTTTAATGTAATTTGTAACGATGTAATTCTACGGCATTACTAGTTACTTTTTCCATTAATAAGTAATAATAAGTTTCAGTAAGTAATACGTAATGGTGAGAATTTACTTTTCAAGAAATTACTTTTCAAAGTGATTTTTCTTAGTGTAACTATAGCTTTAGTTAATCATTATTATAGTTATAAAAAATTGCAACATCATTATGAAAAATTGTTATTGTAAAACGTAACAGAAAAAGTAACAGAAAAGTAATTCTTCCATTTCCTGATAAATTCATACCTTCAATAGCGTATGCCAGAGCGACAAATATAAGCCAAGCAAACGCACGCATCTTTAATTGCAGATTTGATGCCTGATATTGAAGCGAATAGATGCATTCAAAGGTTTATATATGTTCCTGTAGTTGCAACAAAGATATGAATCTTGCGTTTGTGAAGTTTTCCAGAATTTTTCTCAACGCAATATCATATGATAAATTATCGTTACTACTATTCTATATTCTATACACATGTATTTTACACATGTGACAAATATCTTAAAATACCTTATAATCTCGTTAAATGTTATCTCACTCTTCACGAAAGTGTCGATTAAGTTAGCATTGGAAAGTATTTCTACTAGATAGGACATTTCTAAGGATTGCAATATCTCGAATTTATTGCTATTGTTCGACTCGTTCTAAACTTGACATTTTTTTAGTTTGATAATAATATATATAAGTAAACTTTTTTTATTTGCCGATAGAATTTCCTTATCTTCGGTGATTGCTGACTTAGTTTTGCAAAAGTTCGATTTTCATTTCCGTTTTATGTCAGATATCAAACAATATTATTACAGCTATTCATTCTAATCGAGATTCTTAATATATTTAATTCATTTTACCCAAGACTTAAATTTGATTGAAATTGGAAGCAATGTTTTAAATTTTTTGGACATTAATATTATTAACAATGACAACACCCTAAAATTTGATTGATTTCACAAATCAGCTTTCTCAGGGAAATACTATATTTAATTTTTTGTCTTCGCATCGATTTAACAAAAGAGAGAAGTTATCATTGGCACGACTGACAGATTCTCTTTTTTGTCGCATTTGAAATTCCACATACAACAAAAATTTTAATTTTATTATTAAAAAGCTTATCAAATACTGACATACTGAATTATTTTAAATTCATATTTAATTATCAGTGTTAAATCTCTTTGTTATAAAAAAAACTTTTAAACAAACTTTAAAACAAAATATGAATATCAGATTTCGATCACGGGAGGAAAAACCATCTTTAGGATAATGGCAATAAATCGTAAGCAGTAAGCAAATTGGCCAATCACGGTAGAGTCCGTAAGGTCATAACATAAGCGATAGTCAATGCAACATGTTGATTTCCTTATTGCTTATGTCTTACTATTTTGAGTTTTTTGTATGCCTTTACTATTCTATATATTCAGAATGTTTCTGAAAATTTAGGAATATAATTTGGAATTTGAATATAAAATCAACATTTTATAATTTTAATACACTAAGCAGGTTGATTAAAGTTCACATAGGTTTGCTTCCAAATAATTCAAAGAAAAATGTGATATATCATAAATCTCATATAGTAATACAACTTAAGTGGATCAAATTGTGAGGAAATTATCAGAATTTTAGAACACATTAAATTTCAGGAACCACATCAATAAAAATATTACCTCCTAATCGAAAATCACTTAATCAGATCATAGATTATATTAGAATCACTAATTTGATTGGTCGAATGTGAAAATTTTTCGGAACGATTTTTGAGTAAACGTCTGACGTCCGAAATGATATTTATTAAATTACAAACAAATAGTCTAAATTTACAATCAGACACTAATTGTTTTAATCATGCATATGTAGATGTACTTATAACTTTTAAATCTTATAAATTTTAAATCTTATTTGAGTATTTTACAGTCTTGTTCTTCATGTGAGACTTTTTTTTACTTTCGTTGGCATTATTTCACATTTTAATTCTTAATACTTCTTAGGCGATTGCAAATTTCTGTGAATTATGTACACTGGCCATGAAACAAAATTATGCAGCTGAGTGGGTATTCGTCTGGTAGACGAGAGTGTAGAGATTTTTTTCTAATACTTGTATTTTGCTGAGGATGTGTATGGCCTCAATGTGGCAGAAACGGTCAAATTGTAAAGCAAGTTAAATATAATTTTTATAAATTTAAGTATGTTTTGGTCATTATATTTATCCTTATTTGTCTGATTTGTTTACAATTGTTACTTATATTTTACATTTTACTTTTTGGATGTTAAAGTTCAATTCTAATTAAATTTGCAATTTTCATTGATATCTTTTCTTAGAACAATTGGGATTGAATTCTGATAAAGTACACATAATCATTGTTGATTTGAGTTTATCAATTGTATAATCGAGTTTATGATATTAGAGAATTTTTGCAATAACATGAATCCAGATACGGTAAACGATAAAGTCTCATTATCCTTTTCTTAATTAATTGTTAAGAAAAAGATAACTTGATCTTAGTTCATTGTATCTGGATAAACAGCATTGCGAAAACTCCCTATTGTTAAAGTAAAGTATTATATGCTTAGAAAATCAATGAATTTTGTAATATAAAAATAATTACAAATCTATTTACAAATCTACAGATGAATAAATTTACAAATAAAAATTAAGAGTAGAGAACTTATTTTTAAATAAGAAATAAGAAAAATAAAATAAATATAGGATAAATAAATACAAGTTTAATAATATCTCAAAATATAAAATATAAAATTATTTGCAAGAATAAATACTGTATTTAAATCATGAATAATATATTTAGTACTTTATTAACCTAATTAGAAATGATTAAATATATTCTTAATATTTATAGAAATATTGTTAAAATGATGTAGGTTTATTAAAGACATAATTATTTGTATTTTTATTTTTTTCTTTATGCTTTTATTTGTTTCTTGAAAAAAGGATTCTATTATTTTAGAATAATAGTTTTATTTGTATATATATTTAAAGGCTTTGTACGTATATTTAAAAACTCCCTATTATGAGATAGCAACGTTTCTGCTGAACTAATAAACGCTATCTATTAGTTGCATCATGAATTTATTGATTTTGGATTGAAAACTATTTAATAGAACATTTATTATTAGATCATGCCTATGGTCATTGTAAAACAAGATTTTAGAATTTGGATGTCTTCAAGTTTTTTTGGGATGAACTTTCAAACGTTGTTTATTATTTAATAAAATTAAATATTTGGCAATAAATCTTTCTTCATGTAGTAATAGAGTAAGATCGTACTAATAGAAAAATATGAAATTTGTTGGATTGTTTAATTACAGAAGTTAGATTTAATGATCGTAAAATCATAAAACGTGGAAATCATGCTATGAGAAATCCAGGATATTTCTTATGTGAAATAATCCATGCTCCTATAGTAATAAAAATCGCTAAAATATAAATGTTATTATACAATAATAAAAAAGAAAACCGGAATAAATGTGCCTATTTCTCCGATGCTTGATTCTGACTACTTGAAAACGCGTTTTGGTTATAATCGCATGCTCATTTTTCGCGCACGCTGGCTGTATTTGTATTTTAGAAACATTAAATAAAGTTTTTTAATTGCACTGATATACTTTTACTACTGATTTCTCGGGGTATCTCATATTAGGAGCATAATTTTTTGATTGTCCGATTTGATCATTTTTTACATTCCTTTAATTTTCACAACATATAGAATTTGAATTAAATTTTATAGAATGTTATCTTAAAGCTTATTAAATTCCCTTTAAAATGACCTATTATTTTTTAAAATTCTGCCAACAGATTTCTAGCATTTACAACGAAATGAACTTGATATCTCATGATAGAGACCTTTCTTCTATTTTAAAATGAATATTATAAAAAAATATAATATAAATAATAAATAATAAATTTGATTTATAATATATATATTTTTTTATTTATTGTGATTATTTTGAGATAAATATATTTTTAGTATATGTTAGATTTATAATCTGGTTTTGCATGATTTATAAACATTTGGATACTTTTCGGTTTTGTGCTATTCAGAAAGATTTTATACTGAGAGAATTTATACTGAAATCAGTTTGGTTGTCAAAGTGTTATTTGAATGTTTTATTTAAGCAATGTGTTCATTCAAACAATTATCGCATTTAAATAAAAATATTGTTAAGCTAATGTAGAACGCAGAAAAATAATTTCTTATTTTTAATTAAAAATTTATACATTTAAGTAATTATTAAAAAATTATTTTGAAAAATGATTTTTTCTTTCTTATTCATAAATATAATTATAATTATTATTTATCGTATGTTAAACTTGTTAAACGTTTTACAAAATATACTTTTGCAATTTTTGTATAATAAAGAATATTAATACATTTAAATAATAATATATGTCCACTATCTTCTTCAGATCTCATATCTTATAATGTCCATATCTTAATATTGTTTCACTTATATTGCTTAAGATATATTGTGTTTTGTTTTATTATTCGATAATATTTTTTAAAATCCATTTCAAGAGGCCACTCTAGTGTATACTATATCGCCATCCCCGAACACATAGCGTATCAAAAGGGACAATACCAATTAGAACACCATTAGGAACAAGAGAACCATGTGAAATTCCTTGAAAGTTTAATAAATACATCTTTAATCTTAATTATTTATTAGAAATTAAAATTTTATTTATTTAGTTTAATTCACGTTTTACATTTAATTAAATGAAATGTTAAAATTCTGATATTATCATTTATCCTAATCCTATACTTCAAATTTTTATTTTCTTGAATTATATTTAAT